GATGGTGACTGCACGAGTCGCTGTTATCTGCACGTTTTTCGATGAATGTCACCTACGTTGCATGTAGCAGAATTATCCGATTGCCTCGGTTATCACCAATAAGTATATCCGCAGAGGACATAGGTCCCGCGTTGATTCCAACATCCAAAAATTTATACGCTGTTGATGTCAAGGCAAATCTTCTTCCCAAAATACATGGCGTGTAGCGGGGTTTATCAAAACTAAAAAATACACAATTATATGTTTATAAAAGTTTTTTTTTTGCACAAGTATATATGAAAATTAGCGGTACTTACTCATTGTGCTGTTTCTCGCACGTTTCGTCCTGAATCGGAACGTAGTAGTTCGCACCATGAATGTTCATCGTATCTGGAGGCTGTTTGCGACGTACTTGAACCGTATCGAACTCTCGACTATGCTCTAGAATCCTCGTAGACCATTTATACATACTTAAAACTGCAAATCTTGCAAAAATAGCGCCAATGTACGGCTGCTGTATGGTGACCGCCACCACAATCCACATATACGTTAAATGTGATATCTTTGTCAAGAACATTCGTGATGAGATCACCTCATCGGGCATCAAATATGATTTTTTTCAAGAGCATACGTGTCTCGCGATGATTTCATCGAACACGTGCAAAACTGCAAATTTTGCAATTTCGCATAAGTTAATGGAGCGTTATTGTTTTCAAGAACATGTCGCGACGTGTCTCGCAATGATTTTATCGAACACGTGCAAAACTGCAAAATTTGCAATTTCGCATAAGTCAATGGAGCGTTATTGTTTTGAAGAACATGTCGCGACATGTCTCGCGATGATTTCATCGAACACGTGCAAAACTGCAAATAGCGCCGATGTACGGCTGCTGCATTGATACAGATCAAATCACCAAAAGTCAATGGCGCGTTTTCGTGAACGTACGTGTCTCGCAATGATTTCATCGAACACGTGCAAAACTGCAAATTTTGCAAATAGCGCCGATGTACGGCTGCTGAGATGAAATTAGATATGATAAGCAAACGATGCATCATTAGTAGAATATAAAATGACGAATCTAGGGGATACGCTCAATAGTCGAGAACTGGAAGTCGTGAGCAACAAATGCAACAAATGGCGTTAGCAAGAGGATCGTGTAATAACATGAAACAGGAGTTGTTGGAGCAATCCACCCTGTTAAATTCGAGGGAAGACTTTGCCGCGTGGGAGCAACGATGCGATGAGTTTATCGAATCGTTGGAAGAACAAAGCCGAATTAAACGGCCACGATTATCAATCGATCAGTCATCGATTGGTCTCAAACAGTCATTGGTCGCTTGTATCGCAAGACTCGAAGGTTTGAAAGACTCGGTACGTCCACGTTTCGTACATGTGGGTGCTGGATACAGTGCGAGTGAGACAGGACTCAGATGGCGCGAGATAGATACGGCTTTTGAAAGCCGTATATTGATTCTAAACACATCGACCCTCGTCAATTTCTCAAAGATGCGGGAGAAATTGTACTCGATCGTGTGCAGAACGTCATGCAACGACATGACAATGTAAAAATTAACACAGTGTTTAATGGTGAATTTGTTGCGGGTGACAAACGCTCGAATAAAAGTATCGCAACGAGAAACTATGAACTCTTTCGTGAGTCCAATCTGCACGAGTGGTACAAGCAACACGTCATCGAGCCTACCTTAGCAAAGCTGGAGGAATTCCAGGAACGTGATAGCGGATGGGCGTTGTCGCGTATACTCAATTTAATGGTAAACGTGAACAAATACAATCCATTGCACGCGGGGTGTTTTGTGGAAATACCGCAAGAAATTAAAAAGAAGAAGGCGGTGATAAATGTGCGATCAATAGACAATGCATGTTTCGCATGGTCAGTGGTGGCTGCTCTACATCCAGCCGAGAGACACGCAGATCTGGAATCGTCGTATCCACATTACACGTCGGTGCTAGATCTTACGGACATTAAGTTTCCAATGACGTTGGATCAAATTAAAAAATTTGAAAATCACAACAACATCTCCATCAACGTGTTTAGCATCGAGAAAAAAAACAAGAAACTTGCTATCTTGCCAATACGGGTTACTGACCGAAAGATGGACAGACACGTAAATCTGCTGTACGTGCATAACGACAACGTGGGACATTTTGCGTGGATCAAGAACCTATCCCGCCTCGTGAGCTCGCAATTGAGCAAGAATACGAACAAAAAATACTTTTGCGATCGGTAAGTACCGAACTATAGTTCTTTTAATAATATAGAATATTTTGTGTATAAAAAAATTTATAATATTTGCGTTTATTTTTTTTTTTTGCAGATGTTTGCACTACTTCAGCTCCAACGAGAAATTGGCTGCCCACACCGTCGACTGTCAGGAGATGAATGACTGCGCGATCAAGTTACCGAGCGATAACGACAAGTGGTTGGCCTTTAAAAATCACAACAGGAAGGAACGAGTTCCGTTTGTCGTATACGCCGACCTGGAGTGTACTCTGGAGAAGATGGAAGCGGATCTGGAAACGTCCAGGTACACATATCAACATCATCGCGTGTTTAGCATAGGGTACTACGTGCGTTGCTCGTACGACGAGTCGTTATCTATGTATCGCGATAAGGATTGCGTCGCGTGGTTCGCCGAG